ATGGATGGATGATGGATAATGGATGGATGGATGGAAGGATGGATGGATGGATGGATGATGGATGATGGATGGATGGACGGATGGACGGATGGATGGATGGATGGATGATGGATGATGGATGGATGGATGAATGGATGAATGGATGGATGGATGGATGGATGGATGATGGATGGATAATGGATGGATGGATGGATGGATGGATGGATGGATGGATGGATGGATGGATAAAAAGATCATACACGCTTATGGGTAAATAACAAAACATGACCAAATCCTGAAAACAACAACATGGATGGATGGATGATGGATGGATGGATAGATCGGTAGATGGATGGATGGATGGATGGATGGATGGATGGATGGATGGATGGATGGATGGATGGATGGATGGATGGATGGATCATACACACTTATGGGTAAATAACAAAACATAGCCAAATCCTGAAAAAAAAGCAACACATCCACACATCCCAAAAAGATGGTGTGTCGCTGCTGTTGCTGAAAATAAAGTATGCAATATCTACCAAAGCGCCAAAAGGCTAAACAACACACAGAGATCTTCAAAACAGATCCCTAAAAAGGCATCCCCCCGCAACATCAAGGCGACCAAAGGTGAGGCACAACACGGCCATTTCCTGCAGCACTGCAGTTTAGCGAACAGATCTGCCGGTGGTTTTCATTTGCTGAGAGAGCGAATAAATCTAATGGCTCACACAGCGAGGAGGCAGTTGTTAGATTATGGGCTGCTTTCTCCGAGACCTGTAAAGAAACCCCACTTGAGCGATAGAAGCATCGCTCGTTTTGCTGCGCCTAGCATGAATTGAGTGTAAGGGGGGGTAGCGGCTGAGGAGTGAAAAAAAATTAAGTTAGATTAATCTCTTTTCCATTGTTTTAGCAGCAAAGAAAGCATCGCAGTGGAAATAAATAGAAAGTTGTTTTTCTATCAAACCAGCCTCCGTCAGAAGCAGTCGGGTATACTTAGTGACGCTCGCTTTGATGTGTTATTATCCATTATTCTAAATATTTTGTGCATAATTTCTGTTATATAATGTATAAGATTAAGGCAATTCAGGTACATGGTTGGACATATATCCGAATGAATACGATTATTTCTTACTATGTATTCATAAATTATGCATTTCTTAAACTGCATTACCATATTTGGATTGTAGCTTTAATTAAGTCATTTATAACCCCTCCAACTGGATGTCAGGTAACTAAAAAAGCTCCCATTGGACTCATTAGACTGGATGTTTGACGGCATATCAGTGATTCAATTCACACTTTGTAGGGATAAAATAACAATGAATATTAAAATCTTAGTACGTCTTATCACTGGTATAGTTTTACTTGGTCTTGCTGCTCTTCGTTTTTTTCCTTTTTCTTGTTACCCACCGACAAATAAGCTTCCGTGTTGCAGTTTTTTTTGTTTACCACCTCCTGTCATGTCTACCAGAGACTCCCGTTGAGTTCACTGCTCATACTGATGCTTGACCTCATCACCTGTCTGCTCAGCTGCCTCCTATCGTTGTTTCTCCGATCTATAGAAAGTAGCGCAGAGGGCAGCTTGTGTCTTGGGTGTCAGATCATATGTATTGTAGCTGTAGTGTTGTTGTTGGTTTTTTTGTATGTGTGTGTGTGTTGTTTCCGCCTGCCTCTACCTTTCCCGATCTAACTTATATTTATATGTAGCTTGCCAGTTTGGATTTGTTTTGTTTGTTTATCTGCTGGATTTGTTTGTTTGCTCTGACTGGCTGCCTGCTGCCTGCTGCATGCCTGCCAGACAACTGGGTTAAGCCGCCTTTTATCACATCTGCTCTGCCTCAGGTGTCCGGCGTACACAAGGTAGTTTGCAGAGGGGGAAAAAAAACAGCATTAAACAGCCTGATTGCGACTCCTTCGGGATGCGACGACTTATGTTTAACCTAAAGACGAGTCTTCCTGTTGCCTCACCTGTAGACGGGCTAAAATGCAGCGTCTATCCTGAGGGTGGCACTAGAGGAACGGCATTTAAATATGTTTTTAAAAAAAAACATATATGCATATTCTTGTGTAATCATGAATATCCACAGAATATTCAAGCGATTTCAAATTTTAAAAGCTGAGAAGTGAACATGGGGTCAAATAAAGGCCGGAGTAGCAGCCAACATTAAGATGCTTCTTGTGTCTAACTGGACCGTCGGTGTTGGGAGAATAAAGGTCAGGAGGTTAACAAAATGAATCGATAATCATTTTGTGGGGACTACATGCATAATAAATACCGACCAGTCGTGTTAAGAGATATTTTGCATTCGCGCTCAAACTGACCCTTATGGAGATTGGAAATAATCCCGATTAGACCAACTGGTTAGCTTGGGTAGAACTACTTTAACTGCCTCGCCACATAAATCAGTGCAAAAAAAACCCCAACCTACTACTTAAAAATAAACTTATAAATACTTAATATTAAAAGCTTCTTTTCTTTCATTTCGCCTTAACTGATGCTCATATTGTTGTATATGGTTTTTTTTTTAAAATTCACCGTCTAACTTTTCCGTGTACCGTTTCCCGCCGTCGCATTGTGTGTGTGTGTCCACGAGCGCACAAATTGTGAGAGCGTGTGGGCGGACTAGAAATGAGGCCCCAGTGGCAAGAGCACCTGATCAACTGATATGCGAATGCGCGGCTTTCGGAGATACGGCAATCATTAGTTAAATTGCCTCGGCTCTTCACTCCCTCTTACTTCACTTAACTCCTTGCACATGTTCCATTTTGGCCTCTCCTCCCAGCAAGGTTTATGCTGTCATATCTTGCCAATACACGGACCCAATTTATAATTATCTCGCCGCCAACAAGGAATTTAAAACAGAGTCAGCGGGACAATTCTCGAAGCACTTGCCTGGGCATCCGTGCTTACATACATAATTCACCTGAATTTACATCTATTTTGCCAACGTTTTGTTTTTTATTAGCATGTAAACTGGTGCCGTCTCCTTCGCCGAGTTCATTTTGAGCGTATAGCACGCCGTCTGGTCCAGATGTTATAGGATATGTATGCAAAGGAAGTTAACCTGTTAGTGTCACATAGGCTACAACTTTTGTGTAACTGAAAAAGTGCATATTTCAGTCTACAGGAAATGCATTCTGTGCACTGAAACCGACCCCCTCCCAAAAAAAAAAAAAATCTAATCATATTTTCAGCACACTGCTCTTAATTAGTTTAATGGTTCTAAATGTCACTCAGGCATTTGTGGTGATTTTTTTTTCCTCCATTGGGAGCTTTCAGTGCGTGGGCTTTATTGTCCCGATTTTTGCTAATTTTCCTTTTTTTTTTTCCCACATGATTTTTATTTAATTTTTATTTTTTAAAGGGATGGATGTGCATCTTTTGTACTTTATCAGTCGTGCATTGAAGGGACGGGAAGGGTAGGAGGGGCCCAACGGCACTGAAAAGCACCGAAATTGAAAACCACAAACCATGGTTGAAGGGGTGGTGGGGTAGGGGGGAGATTTTAATGCAAGCCATTTGAAAATAGATACAGGGGAAAGCATGCTGAGCTGTCCCTGGTCCATTAAGCCGTTCCTCCTAACAACAAAAAACTATACAAATTGCATAATATTTTTCTGTACTCAACAACAGCGTGTAACTCCGCAGCCGTCCCTGCAGTCTGCTGCTTGAAGGACAACTGCATCCAATTATGGCTGCGAACAAACATCACAATACTGGTGGCATTATGGGTGGTGGCTATTATGATAACAAGCACCACAAATCTATGGCCTTTTCTTCGCCGACTCCAAACTCAACAACTTGAGATAGGTAAGCATGGCACATCTCACCGCAATTTATTCCAGGAGTGGTATGCTGGTTTCACAATTTCTCGTGCAGAATCTCAAGTCGGTTGGACAAGAATTTACTTTTTAAATCACAAAATGCATAAAAAAGTTCAGTAAAGCTGCTGTATGTGCGGCTAAGTTTGGATAATCCGTCAGTCTGCAAAGGTCCAACAAATATGTTGCACTTACCGTCGGCGACAAAATGCTCCGGCACATGGAGGGTAACCTTGACAGTGAGGGGGCAGGAATCCTGCGTCGCATAGACAATGGCAATGACACATGTGCTGATGGTAATCAGCGTCAGGGTGACCTTATTTAGAGGACTGTGTGGGTGGCCTGCAGGTAGAGAAAGAAGGGAGGGGAAAAAAGGTGAAGGTAAATAGTTAAACAGAGGCTCTTTTGTTTTTTATCAGGGTTCTAAACAGATGACAGGAGCATAATACACACCGGCGCATAACACAAAACGAAATCATCTACTTTTTGTACTGCTGAAAGTACATCCCCCCCCTCCTTCTCCCTTTAATCCTTGAAAATGCAGTTAATTGTACCGGTGATTTATGAATCCAACCCTGATTCCAGTCTGGGCCCTGCGCGAGTAAAAGATGACTTAGAATACCTCAGCTCCCGCACAACAGCCCAGAATCATTTACCAGCGTGATGTATGATCTTATTGCCAGTGACAGGGTTATAGATTGGTTGTTTTGGTTGCCCTTTGGCTCTGTCAGGGCTCCTATTTCCAAGCCAGGATATAGGGAATGAAATTAGCCACTTAACCTCTGTCTACTGATATTTATCATGGGAGAAAGTTGGCATGTTAAAAGGGGGAGGCTTACTGGGATGTGAGGAGGATAAGGTAGAGGAAGGGCTGGTATGGAAACAGTGCTGCTGAAGTAGATTTTTTTTTTTTACTGTTAAACATGCATTTGTGTTGAACAGGTGCAATGGAGCAAGTGGAGCAAATACAATCTTACTGTTCGATATTGGAGCAAAGTATTGGTTTCGCTTGTCGTTTTAAAAGTCAACATGAAATCTTGTGATCTCAAGGTGGTGATATTTAAGCAGCATATTGATGATCATATTAGAATTTTGAGCGACTGAGCAAAACAAGTACAACATCGCACATGTTGCCACCATGTTTGAGCTGGTTCAGTTGGTTTACCACAGATGGCTTTGGCTCTTAATCACGATCTGTCAATACACACAGGAGGCAGACTGTTGACAAAGGTGACAAACATGCCATTATTTATTTATGTATTTATTTATTTTACTGTGATCACTGACTGAAAATACAACACAGAAAAGATACATTAGCATAAAAGAACCTGCTTGACCCATCGACTCCAGATCAACTGAGTTCAGATCACTAAAACCAGATTTGTTAGCCAGCTAACTTTAACCAGATTAAGCTGGCTATCAGCAGGGCTGCCAGCCTTCACGTACTGACCATGAGAGTCATGCAATTGACACTTTTATCGACAAAATCACAACAACAATGTCACAAGTTAATAAAAAAAAGGACTCCAACAAACAGACAAGACAGCAGCACACTACAGCAGCAACAATAGTCAGCAGTGAGTTATTCAGACCACTTGGTAGCAAAGAAAGCAATATCTCTAAATCTATTATACTGTAACGTATTCCCATGCATGCTGCTTTGAGTGATCTCAGTCAGCAGCTCTTCCAATTATACACTGTTGTTGATGCATTCTTGGTTTCTATTCAAACCTCAATCCAAACTAATATAGACTCCTGCAGGCAGCTGTTTCCTGAATCCAAGAGGTTTGGTGGTTAAAAAATAAATAAATAAAATGTCTAACCCCTTGTCAATTATGTATTTTTCCAAGTTTGCTCCCCATTTTTGAAACATAACGAGGCATCCGTGTCTCCTGTTGGAAAATACATTCTTCTACTTTATTTTGCAGCCATTCCTGGGAAACATATCACATTAAATCTCAGGATTCGCAGGCTTTCAGAATATGTGTGAATAGTTTTTGGGAAGTGAGCTGCCCACTGAGCTCCCTGCACTGTGCAGGTTTGCTGCAGAAGTCAATAGCAACAGTCTACAATTCTGTGCAGAGGAACTTAAACATTCAGCTGTTGGAATTAAATGATTCATTTACTTACTCATAGGGGTTCCCCCGAGCTTCCAAAATGTAGAAGTAATGCATATTCAACAAATGGCCTGTGTTCTAGTTATAATTACTTTATCAGTGGGTCTCTCAGTCAAACAGAGCCACACTGTTGTTTCCCTCCCAAATGCAATTTCATTTTTACTCTGTCTTAAGTGCGATTTTTATCAGTCACAGATGCAATGTGCTAATGATGAAATTGATAAATCAGTAATCCCCTGCCTTACCGGAGACGGCAGAACCCGCTGAAGTTTGGCGGTAAAGCAGTTCAAGGTCAAAGCCGGGGAGACAAAGTTAGGGTAATGAACGTCCCCGTAGTGAAACGCATGTCTCGCGCTGTGATAGCATTGCGAAGGAGAAGAAGAAACAAAAGCTGTCTACAGCAAAAAGCGGCAGAGCAGACTAATCCCTGTAGAGTGTGGGTGGTGTCATTGGGCTTGTGAAGGGGTCCCTCAATTACTATAAAAGCTTACTGAGTAGACAAAAGCATGTACGCTCACGGTGGCAAACACTTACATTATGGGCGCAAACCAAACACCTGCTCCGTGCGCTCAGACACACACACACACACACACACACACACACACACACACGTAGACACACTTAAATACACTAGTGGATGTAAATCAACCATAGACGCAAGGTTTCCACTAAACAAAGTAAACACCGTTGCACTCAGAATGTATT